GGTTTTCACTTTGGGCCCTATATCAAGAATCTCTCCTGAAACTCAGGGCTAAATAGTCCCTGGCTGCCTACAGGGAAAAAAATGGAAAAAAAAAACTATTGAAGAAGAACATGCATAAGTTATTATTTCAAATTACCCTATGATTTTTCTTAACAACAAATTTTTTAAAACATACAGATGCTTAGGACTCCTTAGACCAGACTTTGGAAACTGCCATGGAATAGTGATGAAGAGTTCCTTCTCTACAGTTGGACATGCTGAATCTGAATCTTGTTTCTTGGCTTACTAACTGCATAACCTCGGGCTAGTGAACTCTCAAGCATTGATGTCCTTATCTGTAAAATTGGGTTAATAGCAGAACTACCCTCAAAAAGTTATAAGACATTTAACTGAGATAAATCTTGAAATATTTAGCATAGTAGGTTGAAATGTCATAAAGTAGGCAGCCTGTCTTTTAGGCAGGTGACATCACTTTTGTATCTATTTCCTCATTGATAAAATACAGACAAGGGTGACCATTTCATAGAGTTTGTGCAGGTATTATGATTAAATTAAATGATCACGGTACCTTAGTGGACACACATTATAAGTTGCTTCTTTCTACTTTCTTCTACCTGTTTTTTTTAGGGGTGAGATTTAAAAGTGAGGGAATTAAATCTGAATTAGTTCTAAATGATAGATAATACTATTGTATCAATAATAATAGTACTATAATTACCTAAGATAATTTCTTGTTGTTAGGAACTAGATACTGAAATACTTGGGGATAAATGGGATATCATGATTGCAATATACTAAGCAGTTCAGAAAAAAATTACATATATGTATGTACATTTATATATGATATATGTAAATACATGGGGGAGATATATTTAAGAAAATATAGTAAAATAATAACATTTGGGAAATTTGAATGAAAAGTATCTAGAGATTATTGGTAGTATTGTTGCAACTTTTCTGTAGGTCTGAAATTACATGAAAATAAAACATTATGAAAAAAAGAAAGAAAAAGGATAAGAACATAAATTTATTGAGCATGGGGCCAGAGGTGAGATGAAGGTCTTCATTTGGGCTATTTAAAAATTCTTCTTTTATCAAGATTATTTGTGACAGGAAGGCTCATAATAATTATATATCCATGCCTCACTTAGGGTTTTTGTTTGTATCAGATTCTAATTATTACTAATGTTTTAACCTGCCAAGAGGTAGAAAATGGTTTGTTTAAAATGAAAGCCTAGGTGGGCAGATAAAAGCTGTTTCTTCTATTTCATGAGGATGGAAGTTCTCTTAACCCAGCAGCCATGACCTATGTGCAGTATAAAAGTATGTTCTAGACTTATTTTAGATACCACATGTGGCTCTTTTCACATTTTTTCTGAATGTTTTATAGAAAAACAAAGCTACTAAAGAGGCATAGTAGCTCTGTAACTCCCACCAGAATGCGCACAGTAGAATAAGGAAAAAAGCAAGGTATTCTAAGAGCTTTTGAGTCATGAGCTGAAAGGTGGAATTCTTTAGGAGGAAGCATCGATGCTGGTTTTAACAGGAATCGCCAGTTCAAGCACAGTGGCTCAGATGTGTACTGATCATCACAGCGTAACTAGGACAACCAGATGAGCCAGCTGGCCAGTTGCCATGATAAATAATAACTTGCTCCTAGGTCAAGTCTAAGGAATGTTCTACAAACAAAATACTCTGGACAAAAGTTACTACAGTCAGAGTGTGGAAAACAGTCCTAACATGTGCCATGCAGGAAGAATTGGTGGTTGTGAAACAGGGTTGTTAGTAACCAGAGTCAATATGAAGGCCAGAGATCTGTATGTTCTAACTAAAATGTATTAGCCAGTTGATGTCAACAAAATTCAGCATCCATAAACATATTATTGGTACTTTTATCCTGAATCTGATATTTATTTGACTGCTGGTGGCAAACCCAGTATTTGGCTTGAAATAACACTGAGAACTCTCAAGAGGATACACTCATGTTGTATTTTTTTTCCTTTATTCAGTGTCCCATTTGATAAATAAACCTTCAGGATGAGAACAAGTGTCAATATATGTACAACATACATATAGCAATTTGGAGAGCCCTTGTCACTACCAGTTTGTGACTGTAATTGACCTTCATTGTTGGAGGCCCTCATATGTGGCTATTTTCAAACTGCTGCTCCTTGTCTAGCCACTTCGTTGCCCTAGTATCACATGGTTCTTGGCCTTCTCCCCTGTGCTGTCAACTACTCTAGCTTCAGTTCTGTCTTCATTCTCCATCAAAACACAACATGCAACTCAACAAACACCTATTATGTGTCAGTATTGCACAGGAGCTGTTGTCACCAAAAGAAATTTTTAAACACAGTGTCTGAACTCTGAGGGCTCTTCTGTAATAAAGAAGATTGCCCCTTGAACGTCCTCAGTTCTATCTAATAAATGCTATAAGCTTTATGTAGTCTTAGAAGAGATGATGATCAAGATTGTCTGGGGAAGCGGAGAACAGAATGCCAGGGAAGAGGTGGTTGTTTGGTGGATCTCAAAGAGTGAGTAGGTGCTTCAAGAAGACAGACTTGGAGGAACGTGCATGCCCAATGGCAGGAAAACCTACAACAGCACCTTTCCCAACCTGTCCAGAAACTGCAAGTCCACTCAACTGTCAAGTGAAAAAACTGAAACAAGAACCCAAGTCTCCTTGTGTCCAGGCCAGTGGTCTTTTCACTGTGTATTCTTGGGGCCATTTCCTTTGGGATGAAGTCTCTGTTAGATAAAAACAAATCTGATAAATAATTATGTGGCCATTTTTATCTTTAAATTTCAATTTCTCTTTTTTTATTCCATAATATAACTTTGATAATAAAAAAATTTCCAATTAAAATTTCAAGTTTTACCTTTTCCCCCCAAATCTTGAGTAAAGTTGACTTTGCTGGAATGCTTGCTTTATTATGGTTTCTGACAATTGAAAAACAAATGAATTATGGTTTGAGAAGAAAGGCCTCCAGCCATTTGTTAGATGACAGTGTGATTTCTCAGGAAAGACAAAGATTGAACATCAAATGTCAACTTTATATTAACTGAAAAATAAAACTGAACTGTTCAGTGCCTTCCACAGTTTAATGCCTCACTATTTTAACACAGTATGCAGGCTAATTTACCAATTTAAATAATCTCTGATATCACATTATGTTTAGTAAAATATGTTGATAACTAGGTTTAAAGAAGCATGTTTATAATATTTCTGAATATGTTAACAGCATTGCTCTAACTTAAATTTGAGTTGAATCTGGCTCCTACATTCCAAATTACAGCATCTCTCCACTTGTACATTTTTCTATTCTGTTAGAAGTGTCATCTAGAGCAGTACTGTCCAATAAAAATATGATGCAAGACATGTAATTCAAAATTTTCTAGTAAAAAGATTAAGACATTATAAAAATTTTTTAAAAGTAGGTAAATTCAACTTTATATTTTCCACCCAATATATCCAAAATATCATTTAAACATGTAATCAATATAAAAATATTAATGTGCTATTTTACATTATTTGTGTTGTACTAAGCCCTTAAAAATGGTGTATATTTTACCTTTATAGCACATCTCAATTCAGACATTACATTTTAATTAAGTAAAGTAAAATAAGTGGAATGTAACTATATCAAAATAATTAAGTTGCATTTAGTGAAAAATACAGGGCCTGGCAGAAGTAAGGCCTGATTGAGTGTGGTTGGTACGGTAATAATATGGGTGTAATAATTTACAATTTTAATTTGAAAATTTCACCTAAAATATCATATGGTGTGCTTGAGTGTGATATTGTTGTGTTACAGAATTAAATGCTTGTGATTTTGTGATAAAAGATTTTGTAAGAAAAAGGAGCATTATTTGCATGGGACCCTGTATTTTACAATGCTTCAGTTTTAAAATATAAATTAAGTTAAATAAAATTAAAAACTCAGCTTTTCTATTTCACTAACAACATGTAGTTTGAGGCTACCAAATGGGATGCTGCAGATCTAGAAGTTAGAGTGGTAGCAAACAGAAAAATATGGGAGCACTAGGTTTGTTCTCAGTAAGGCATGAGGAGATTATGTATAGAAAAGGGTCAGAAAGTGAGCATATAAAAGATAGCAAAGTGGTAAAAATGTGAACTTCGGAATTAAACTAGATTATCTCTGTTGCTTTTTTCCTTTGGCTTCTTTACACTTCAGCTTTCTTAACTCTAAAGTAATAATACCTGCATTATTGGGCTATTAAGATTAAATGATATAACCTAAATAGTGGGATTTTAAATATGGCACATTTTAAAGGTTCAATAAATTATAACTAAAGTTACTAGTATTCATGCAAGTCATGGGATCTGTTTGCATTTAAGTGTGGGGAAACTTTGAGTCATTTAATTAATTATTTGCAGGTTGTAGAGGATGGAAAGAGAGAAATTATGGCATTTTTCTGTAATTTTTATTGTATTATAAGATACTTATATAGAAAAACATGCAACAATCACAAATATACTGCTCAATGGATTTTCACAAAGCAAACACACCTGTGAAACTAGAACCCACATCTGAAAATAAAACACTTAGAGAATCTCAGAGCTCTTCTCATGCTCCCAATAAAAGAAACCACCATCCTGACTTCTAACAATATCGGTTAGTTTTACCTGTTTGTAAATTTTATGTAAATGGACTCATACAACCTGTATGAGTGTATGTGTCTGACTTCTTTCACTTAATCACTAATTTGTGAGACTTTTTTATGTTGTTGTGTGCGGCAGTAATTTGTTCTTTCTCACTGCTACGTTGAATTCCATTATATAAATACTCCCACAATGCATTTATCCATTCTATAGTAGATAGACATCTGCGTTGTTTCTACATTGGAACTATAACAAACATATCTGCTATGCGCACTCTTACGTGTGTGTTTTGTGATGGGTATGCACTGGGATTTGGGTTTTAATTCTTGGATTTGTCGAAGGAGAAGACTCACTCATCCAATTATTTCATGTGCAGGAACCTTGAATAAGCATAAAGAGTTGGAGGACCTTGTGGCTAAGTTCCTGAATGTAGAAGCAGCCATTGTCTTTGGGATGGGATTTGCAACTAACTCAATGAATATTCCTGCACTAGTTGGAAAGGTAAGAATTTGTTAACATAATTGTCTCTTGCTATATTATTCTTAAGAATTATAATTCTGAGGAGGCCCTTTGTTAGAGGTATGGCTCAGAAGGTCCTTTTCTGAGAAAAAAAAATGTATTGGATGTCCAGCTTTTTAAATAAATGTACAATTTTAGTCTAGATTCATCATGATATTCTGGTTACAGAATGGCAGCCCTGATGTTGGTCAAATTTCATCTTCCATGATGGTTTATCAAACCCAATTAAATTTTTAGGCTCTCAAGTGACCATCTGTAACATAGCCAAAACTTATTGAGCATTTATTTGAATGAAATATTTTGCTTATACCATTCATTGATTTATTCATTTATCTAATAAATCCCTGATTAAGAATCTACTATATCATGTTGTGAGGCAAGATACAGGACATACAAAGATGAACAAGACTTGTGCCTTATAAATTTACATAGTTTACACTCTAGCAAGAGAAAAGACACACCAAATAAAATAGAATGACAATCACCGAAAAGGCATGTATACACATGGAGAAGAACAAAAAGTTGCCTCCAAACTGTTCTTGAGAATTCCTGTGCAAAGCAGGTGATGTTAGAACTGAATCTTTTACTTATCTGTTAAAATAGGTAAGTTATTTTCTTAGGACAAGGAGGAGAAAACAGCATGCGTAAAGCCCCAGGTCTGCAAGAACTAGAGTATAGGGTAGCGAATGAAGAACAGACCAGAATGAAGGCAGAGGCCAAATTGCAAAAAGTCTTGCACATTGAATTGTTCAAAATTCTTTGGGAAAAAATGGGGAGTTAGTTGGTTCACTTCAAGTGAAAGCAAGTGCCATAACCTGACTTATGTTTTTTAAAAAAATCTGACTCATGACAACTAAAAGTAATGGATGGTTTTTTATTTGATTATGTATTTTAAAATAGAAGGAAATAATACAATAAAAATAAATAAATTTTAAAATTAAAAATAATGTATAAATAAATAAATATTAGAACTAGACTAAGTTCTTTGGAACCAATATTTTTATGAAGTGTGGCTATTCATAAGGGCTCTTATAGTTTGGTTCTTATATATAAAACGTACTGTAAATGACTCAGTCAATGAAGTGAACAAGATTCACAATTTATAACTAAATCTTTTCTATCTAGTGGATGCTGGTAGTAAATAAAATACCTGACTAGTAATAAAAATAGAGAGAAATAAAACATCTGTAAAAGACATTAAGACATTATTAGAACAGCTAGGGAAATATGAATTTGAGCTTTATATTGGTTTCTTGGTTGTCACATAGCATTGTGATTTTGCAGGAGAATGTTCTTATTCTTAATAAATACATGCTGAAGAACTTCAGGGTGAGGTATTATGAGGTTTATAAGTAACTCTCAAATTTTCACCAAAAAAATTGTAAATATGTACATGTCTGGAGTATAGAATATGGGGACATTGCTGGCTCTTGCTTCCCTGCAACTTAAAACTTAAAACATGTTGTGTTTCCAATATATGAGGAAGAACTCACAGATTATGGGTGCCCATGAAAGACAAATGGCCACCATAGTTTGTCTCTGCATTTTTGGTATCGTTGAAAAATTTCATAATTTAAAATTTTTAATTAAAAATGAAAAATAATTTTACAAACTATAATTTATAAGCATTAAATTATATTGGGCTTTTCCACATGTCTCAGAATCAATTTCCATTCATACTTTTCCAAATGCAGTGTTTTTGACTGTAAAGCAGTGGTACTCTTGTACATGGAGGTCAATACAGTGAAGAATGAGAATCAGGAACTCTACATTCTCACCAACACTTGTTGATTTATTGATGATGGCCATTGTGACAGGTCTGAGATGATGTTTCATTGTGGTTTTGATTTGCATTCCTATAATGATTAGTGATGTTGAACATCTTTTCATGTCTATTTACAGTCAGTGTGTCCTCCTTGGAGAAGTGTCTTTTCAGGTCGCTCCTTTGCCCATTTTTTAATTAGATTGTTTTGGTTTTTTGGTGTTCACTTTTATAAGTTCTTTATAAATTGTGGCTATTAACCCCTTATAAGATATATCATTGGCAAATATGTTCTCCCATTCAGTGAGATGTGTTTTCATTTTGCTCATTGTTTCTTTTTCTGTGCAAAAACTTTTTTAGTTTGATGTAGTCCCATTTGTTTATTTTTCTTTGGTTTCCCTTTCCAGAGGAGATATACCAGAAAAAATATTGCTATAAGAGATGTCTGAAATTTTACTGCCTATATTTCCTTCTAGGATTTTTATGGTTTTAAGTCTAACACTTAAGTCTTTAATCCATTTTTTAGCTTATTCTGGTGTATGATATAAGAATGTGGTCTAGTTTCATTTTTTTGCACATATCTGTCTAATTTTTCCCAACACCACCTATTGAATAGACTATCTCCGCCCATTGTATATTTTTGCCTCCTTTGTCAAATCTTAAATGACTATAAAGGCATGGGGTTATTTCTGGGCTCCCTATTCTGTTCCATTGATCTATGTTTGTTTTTATGCCAGTACCAGGCTGTTTTGGTTACTATGGCCTTGTAGTATAGTTTGATATCAGGGCCTTATGAACCAGCAATTCCACTTCTGGAAATTTATTTGAAGGAACCCAAAACACTAATTCAAAGGAATGTGTGCACCCCTGTGTTCATTGCAGTGTTATTTACAATAGCCAAGATTTGGATACAGCACAATAGTCCATCAGTAGGTGAATGGATAAAAAAAGCTGTGGTACATTTACACAGTGAAATACTACTCATCCATGAAAAAGAAGGAAATCTTTCCCTTTGCTGCAGCACAGATATTATGCTAAGTGAAATAAGACAAGTACCATATGATTTCACTCATATGTGGAATCTAATGAAAAAAATGAACTAACAAGCAAAAAAAAGATAAATTAATAGATAGCAGATTGACAGCTGTTGTGAGGGGACATTGGGGAGCTGGGTTGGGTGTTGGAGGGGTTGGGCAAAAAAAGAATTAAAAAAAGAAAAAAATACTCATGAACGTAGATAACAGTGTGGTGATTGCCAGGGCGAGGGGATGGAGGAAGGTGAAGGAGGGTACGGGGGAAGTAGAAATGATGAGGGAAGGAGAATTGACTTGGAGTGGTAAATATACAGTACAGTGTGCAGATGATGTGTTGTGGAATTGTGCACCTGAAACCTGTATAATTTTGTTAACCAGTGTCACCCCAATAAATTCAATAAAAAGGAAAAAAAAGAACGAGAATTGAAAAACAAGAGTTGAAATTGTCCCATAGAAAAGATCCCTGCCTTTCAGAGGGAATACACCAAAATTGTCCCAAATAATCCATCATGGGATTGAAGGGCTCCAGCAAGTCCACAACCCACCCAACAGCATATCAGTTTTCCTGTCAAATATCAATTCTTTAGATGATAGCTGGTGCTTAACCAAGATTTTAAATGACCTTTTCTGCTGAAAATTTTATGCAAGTGACTAAAGATGTAGTCCCTTAAAACAATCCCCATCTCCATCAGCTAAATGTTATATAGCATTTTATTCATATATTTAAGCTCTTGGGCTTTTGAAATTGAAGTGGTTTGCAGATCTATGTTTCAAGTCTTGAGTATCTTCCTGCTCCCATATGTTGTGCTTCCTTAACTTTATTTATTGACCTGTGTTTTATGTGCTTGTTTTCTGAACAGGGATGTCTCATTTTAAGTGATGAGTTAAACCATGCATCTCTTGTGCTTGGGGCCAGACTCTCAGGTGCAACCATAAGGATCTTCAAACACAACAGTGAGTATCAATATATTTATTCAACATGTACTGCTTGTTTCTAGAAGAAAGTAAAAATGACTGTTGGGGCTTTGTTCTTGCTCTTCAAACTGGGAGCTTAGCCTAGTGAAACACAATTATGTTTGTATTCACTACTGACTTGTTAACCTCTGCTGACCCAGAACAAATGGTTGAAGTGCATTAAATACTCAGATTGTTAAGCACAACCCAAACACATTAGTGTCAATGTTATTAGTGGTCTTTCAATGTGGCCTCTGAAGACCTGACTAATCTCATAGGACTACCACTTAATCATCATAAGTGTCATAACCCTTCACTTTCTATTACTCTGCCTTGGGAAAATATGAAGAGTTAAGTTGCATGTTATAGTCAGGTAAAAATTGATCTTCCCTAGCATAATGCTTATTTTCCCTACCTCACCCACCATATTCTCAGACACCCCACACACATAAGCAGTCTATTCAACTGCACAAAAATGCTCTTTCAGGCTCTGAGCTATGTGGTTGGGTCGTAAGAAGGAGATAGAGGCTATTTATTATTAGAGACTTGAAAGGACAGCATGGTAAATATTAGGAAATACTTCTTTAAAAGGTGGTGTGGGACACCTATGTTCTATTATCCAGCTTTGCCTCTAACTTGTTGTACCACCATGTGTAAATCTTTTAATCATTCTTGTATTCAGTTTTCTTATCTGTAAAATAAGGGTGTTGAATTCTCTGATGTGCAAGGATCCTCTCGGTTCATTTTCTGATTCTAATTCTTCATTACCATCATCAAAACTCTCCTTTCTGTGTGTGCACATGTGCACATACACATATACATACATACATACATACTCTTGTTTCCTCTCTCTTCCCTTTCATTAGTTTTCTCTCCTGCTTTCCCTTCCTCTTTCCTTTTCCTCTTCCTTGACACTACCCTCCATGCTTCAAGAGAGTAACAAAGACTAAAGTGAGGAGAAGAAAAGTGACAGAGAACTGAGGAGGAATTAGTTCCAGTTGTTATGTCCACTTCACAGAAATCTCAGCCAAAGAATAATTGTCATATGGAAAGAAAAGCAAATGAGTGGGAGAGTTCTAAAGTGAATCTACTTTCTAACTTGTAGAATTTTTCTAATAAAAAATCTCCTGCTGTCACTGAGCGGGGTGAAGTCTTGCTATGCCTTTACTGAATCACCTTCAGCAGCTGTGTAAACATGAATACTCTGGAGTTGAGTTCAGAACAAGATCTGGAAGAACCAAACTTAAGGTCTCTCAAACCTAGATCAATTATGACAGCCAGCTCAATGTTAATTCAAAATATGTTGATTCCATTTCTTAATTTTGCATCAAACACTTGATCTTGGCTAGTCTCTGATAAGTTAAATTCCTCTAGTTCTGTTTCATTTACCATCGATTATCACATCTAGACTCCAATTATTTGGACAATGTTGGGAATTCATGTTTGGAGGAGGCATCTTTCATGTGTTCAAGAAGTGAATTTATTGAGACTACAGAACATTCCTTTGGTATTAGAAAAATTATGCTATATTCTCTTGTTTCTTTAGCATGACAGGCAATTGGTGATCAAAGATTTTATCTACTTGAGGAAGGATAAAGTATAGTTGGCAATTATTCAACTGTAGTTTCATCCACAGATATAGTTAAATGTAATAATCTTGTTCCTGGAAGCAGACATATTCAAGTTGTGATCCAAAAGGAACAAATAAACCAGATCATGGTCAAGATTAACCTCTCATTTTTTCACTTCATTCTACTAAGGGCAGTGGCTCATGACCCTAGGTTCACAACAGAAGTATGTAGGGGTCATCTGTGAAAGATCAATGACAGGACCCACCTCCAGATGAATAGGATCCAAATATCTCAGTTGGATCAAGGCAGCTGAATTTTTTCAGAGCTCTCCCATGTGATTATGATGCACAATGAAGACAATAAACCTTAGAATCTTATTTTCTAACTTCCTTTTGTTTAGGCTGACCCTGGATCTTACCAGTTCATACATGGGTGTATCACCACACACATTGCCGTGTTAACTACCCTCACTCTTCCTCTCACCATGGATAGTGCTATTAACATTCCTGGCCTAAAGTTGATAAAGGGGATCAAAAAATGCAGAGAAAGTTTTCCAAGCTAAAATTTATTGAACACATTTTGAACACCTATTCTGATTCAAGCCCTGTGTTTGACCTTTGGAGATTATAAAAATTATAAGGTAATATCTTAGTTATGTGAGAGCGTACAATCTAGTAGTAAAATCAGATATGTATGAAAGTAACTGTATTATTCGTTAAAGCAAAAAAAAAAAAAAAAAAAAGAAGGCGGCCACAGTGATATCAGGCTAAGAGTACAGACTTTGGCCAATGCACCCACTAGAATAGCTAAAGAAAGGAAAGATGACACCACCAAATGTTGGAAAAGATATGGAGCAACTTTAACTCTCATCTATTGCTGAAAGGTAAAATAATACAACTTTTTTGGAAAACTCTATCGCAAAGTCTTATAAAGAAATATATTCCTGTGCTATGATCCAGAAATTTCACATCTTGGAGTTTCCAAGTGAAATGAAAGCATATGTTAACAAAAAGACTTGTACAGAATGTTTGTAACAGCTCTATAATAGTCCTAAACTGGAAACAACCCAAACATTTATCAATGAGAATGGAAAAAATTGGGTTTTATTCATACAATAGAATATGACTCTATAATAAAAAGGAATAAACTACTAATACATACATGTATGACCCTAAAGAAACATTTTTATAATGAAATAAAGTAGACACAAAGAGTACATACTGTATAAATTTGTTTGTAGGAAATTCAAAAGCAAACTAAATCTATGACAATGGAAATCATAACAATGCTTGCCTATTATTGTGGAGGAGGAAACTGGTGAGAAGAGGCATAAAGAAACTGTCTGCTGTGATAGAAATGTTTGATATTTTAATAGAAGTGATGCTTACAATCTTATTAAAATTCATTGAATTGTACACTTAACATCTGCACATTTCCTTATAAATAAATTTTCCTAAAAATATAATGATCACACAGTATATATAAATTTAAAACCATTGATTTAGTATTTAAACAAGTATAGGTTTTGACCCAAGCATTTGTGTTCTTGTTCTATAGCTTATTAGCATGTTGTCCTAGGCAAAGTACTTAATCTTCTTAGATCTCAATTTACTTATTCCAAAAATGAGAATAATTATAATACTTGATTCCTGATATGCAGGAGGAAGCATATAAAGTGCTTACTTAGCACAGTGCCTGGTAATGAAAACTACTGAATTTTTTGTACCTACTGGGTTATTACAATTATTATCCTCATCATTTTCATCACCAGTACCACTAAAGAACAGTACAAAACATTATGGTGACTCAGAAGAATGCGGAGATCATTTTATTTGGGGAGTTGCATGAAATGAATAGTATTTTCCTTAGACTTTGAAAGATTAAGAGAATTTTAATCAGGAATGGGAGAAAGGATATTTCAAACCAAACAGTAATCTGGAGTGTTAAAAGATCATCAAGACTTCCAGTGTGACCTGACTATAGGGCTGAACTAATAGAGATGAGCCTGAAAAATAAGTCCTTAGCCAGTTAATACAGAGTTGCTAAGATGTATGTACTTCAAGAAGCAACAAACTGGGCAGCTGGCTTCATGCCATTCTGTTCTCTAGATGAACTGGCTTTGCTCAAAGTATTTGGTAGCCCTCTCATATGTTCAGTGGAGATGAAACTACATGTGCAAGCTTTGAGTTAAATTAAATCTTTAAATAGCAACAGATGGAAAAGACCATTTACTTATGGATTGTAAATATTGGCTGTCCTCAGAGCAGTTCTGTTACACCTTCTACTGTCTTTCTCCTGCATTTGTTGTATGAAATTCAGCCCAAATTCTATTATTCACTAGTATTGGAGAGTCTATAGAGATGATGATGATGTTGATAGTTATAGATACCTAGATGTTAGTTAGATAGAAGATAGGTGGACATATATACATGCATACTACCCAACTGGGAGACTAATTGAAAGCTTTATTAATTATTACCAGACATCCCTACCCTCCAGCTTAAGACTTTTAGGTAGCAATCCTCCAAGACACCAAATGATCCACCACCTCCTGGTATTTATGCCCTTGTATAGTTCCCTGCTGCATTCTCTCAGGATTGATTTGTGTGATCAAAAGAATACAGCAGAAGAGATGATATGTCACTCTTAAGATTATGTTTTAAAAACATTATGGCTTTTGCCTCTCCTTTCCTGGATCACTTATGAGGGTATTTAGGAAGGCTGTGAAGAAGAGGCCTTCTGCCAGCAACTATGGGAGCAGGGAATCTTGACAGATCCCCTGGCTTCACTTCAAGCCTTCAGAAGACTGTAGTTCAGCCAGCATTTTGACTGTAGCCTCACAAGTTTCTTAGGCTAGAATACCCAGCTAAGGTTCCCAAATTCCTGACCTACAAAATCTGCAAGAAAATAAGTTTTTGTTGTTTTAAACCTTTAAGTTCTGGAATAATTTGTTACATAACAATACATAACTTATATACCTTCTCTGGCCACTATTCCGGGGCAGAAGCGGGACACCCAAGTGTGACTTCCTACTTCCTCCTTCTTTGAACCTAGAATGAATAGCTCATTCTAAAATGGCTTGACAGAGCCTGAGTCTTTCAACCCAACTACTTTATCCACTTGTTCACTGGCAAAGAAGCCAAAATAAGACAAGATGGAAGACAAGCCATTCTTGGTCTCCATGGGACAAGAAACTCAAGAACCTGTATCATCAAGGTCAAGAAGTGAAATAAGGCTTGTCTACTGCTTCCTGAGACATAGTTTCCCATGGCTGTAATGGCCTAAGAATGTCAGGCTTTGACTCACCATATTAGCAACCCCTTTTCTGAGGGGAGTGAAGCAAGGATGTCTTGAAGTACTTCTTTTTCTATTGGCTAAGGCTGAAATCACACACATTCCAGTTCCACAAATAGTCATCAAAACTATTGC